ACACACACACACACACAAACTTCTACAGCATGACATATCTTAAGAAAACACTCACTCACACGCCTTTTATCTGAGATTTTGTCTTTTTCTGTCTCTCTCTGCCAGATTCACATGAAGACCATGCCGGCAGCCATGTTCAGACTTCTAACAGGACAGGAAACTCCTATGTACATATAAACAATGGCCAGGGACCGCTCCACAGGAATGGCTGTCAGCTGTGATTGGTTTAACTTACGGGGCAAACCAAGCTGACCAGTGACTGGAGGGGGGGTGGGGGGATCGCTTCTCCCTGTCGATTCATTTTTCTTTTTTCTTTCTTTGAGCTGATGACTTCAATTCTTCATCATCTCTTCCCCTTGTCTGTGCTAAACACGCGACAGCCATTTTATTGACACGCAACGCTTTTTCCATCTGACCAGCTGAAGAGACTGTGTGTGTGTGTACTGTTTGTTATTTATTTGTCCTGTCTGTGCTCTTCTGTGTCACTTCAGTGAGATTGTGTGGACGAACTTATCGAGCGAATGCATCACAATTTATTTTTTTATATTCATGTAATGCAATATGATACTTCTACTATACTACTTGTATAGTTTCATTTTCTTCTCTGTTTATTTATTTCTCATGTAAATACATATTTTGCTAATATTGTGACTAAAGCAGTGGGGAGGGAGGGGCCACAGCTGCATTGTAAATATTTATTGAATCTTGCTGTTGAATTGAATGACGGCGGACGCAGTTAAATGCCGACTATCATCGTATGGCCAGTGAAAAGGGGAAACGAGTTAAGTGTCTGAAATGTTGGGTTTAAATATGCTAAGTTGACATAATGAACATGTGAATCAAACCAATGCTTGCAGCAGGGGTTTATGGGAGAAATGCCATATCCTTTTGATTTTCTTCATTATATGGCAATACACAAGTTCAACCTCTGAATGGCAAGATGAATCTTTTCTAAATCTCACATACAAACACTCACTACAAACAAAAGCAACTATTATAACTATTAACATGCATTAATTATGCTTTTGATATCAAAGTCACATGTATGAAAAATGTTTCTTTTGTGTGCTATTCTACTGTATGTTCATCTTTAGTGTTCCTGACTGAAACTCATGCATACTATGAGCGGATTGTGAATGTAACTGTGTTGTGTGAGCTGTCCCATTGCCATAAGCAGTATTAGAATGTCTGTACATAAAGAGAAACTTGTCTAGTATTGTGCTCATGTTAAAAAACAAAAAAACCAAACAAAACACAGGTTTAGTCACTGCAAACTGCATCTCCCACCTGTATGTTGGCTTTCAGTCTTGAGAGGGAAAGAGAGAACTGTGAATCACACACTGTGACAGAAACAAGCCTTACCACCGAGTAATGGTTTTACAATGCATTGTAGTAAATTTTAACCATATGAACATTATCTGTGTGCATGCCTCGTAAAGTAGTATCATGTCATTGTGGCAAGATAATAAAATCTGAGCTAAACCTGGCTGGTTTTTCTGGACTGGATCAGACCCAAAGACGGACTCTGTCAGAGGTTGGATTTTCCATATGAAAGCGTAGTCTGGGCACTGACTAGAGTTTTCTCTTGTAAAGGTTTGCTTTTCATGATTAGTCTGTTTCTATAGGAGCCCACTGCTATTAGGAAAAGAAAAGAAAAAAACGCAGACATGATGAAAATAAAAATGATGGTAAGTCAAAATTATGTCTTACTGTCTTGTAATTAAAAGTTTAAAGTAAAAAGTTGGACTTGCTTTGTATGATGAAATTTAAATCTCATAATCCTTGGTAAGTAGACATTTTTTACTTGTCTCCTAATTTTGCTTTCATAAGACTTTTACTTTCAGCCTGATTAATCAGGTTATTTCAGGGATCAGCAACCTTTGCTATCAACAGAGCCATTTCTGTCCAAAATCTGTCTGGAGCCACAGCTTTAACTTCAAATGCAAATTTCTCGCAGCAGACCAAGCATACAGATTAGCCAGCAGCACTGGAAGGAAACAAGTCTGTTGATTTTCCTCTGAGACTGCTTTTTTTGGATTTGGAATCTATAGCTATCCTAGCTAGGAAGATTTAAGACTAATAGTCACTGCTGTTGAGGTCTGGCCAAATATAGAGCAAAAGACAAGATGTAATGTATGGGCACATTTTAGCTGACAAAATGTTAAACCCTTTTTTAATCTGTGTGTAATGGCTGTATATTTTTACAGTTGGAGACTGTAAGAATCACTTTAGGCTTACAGCAATGATAATGTTAAAAAATAACTTATATATTTCCATATAATGTTTTGTGAAAGCCACAGGGAGCCACTGGAGAGGGGATAAAAAGCTGCAAGTTGCCTTCCCCTGTGCTATTTTATTGTAGGAGTTACTAGATGTCACACACTAGGAGCTACCTATGGATGCAAAATATTAGAATAAATTGCAGAAGAAAGCTA